CTGAAAGTCCCAGCCTTGCTGATTCCAGCCCAACACCAGGTAAGCTGCCAGAACCCTACAGCCTCCAACTGCCAACATAAGAGGCCCCAGCACACAAAGTCAGTGACCAAGACCTAGGCTCCCAACACAAGAAGCTTGGGTCAGTGCCCTCTGCTCCCCAGCAGGAGAGCATAATCTCTTTAAAGGCCAGGGAATAAAAAAACACCATGAGTAAAAAGAAACGTATGATAGATTCATATTATGAGAAGAGTGAAGATCAAGACAGAAATTCTGAAGAGGACAACATTGTCATCAAACCCACATCTGCAACATCAAAAGGGAATATGAACTGGTGTGAAGCCCAAAAAGCCTTCTTAGAAGAGCTCAAGAAGGATTTTAAAAGTCAAATGAGAGAGGTAGAGGAGTCCTTAGAAAGTACAATTGGCCAATTGGAAAAAAAGTACACTGAAGAAAACAAGTCCCTAAAAAACACAATTGGCCAACTGGAAAAAAAGTATGCTGAAGAAAACAAATCCCTTAAAAATACATTTGGCCAACTAGAAAAAAATTATACTGAAGAAAACAAATCCCTTAAAAATACAATTGACCAATTGGACAAGAAAGTACAAAATCTAACAGAAGAAAACAATATGTTAAAAATTAGAGTTGAACAAATAGAAACTAATGACTCTATGAGAGAGCAAGAATCAGTCAAACAGAAACAAAAAAAATGAGATGGCTACCATTAGACACAAATAGGTAGATATATGCAAAATTATTCTATACATACTTCTTTTTATCCTCCTTTTCTGCAAACCCTCCTCTTAATCTGTTTTCACCACAGTCTCTGGAAAACTCCAAATTGCCAGGTCCTACTTTATACTTTCTAGGTCTGCTGTAGAATTGAGGCTTGGAGGAGGGGTGTTGGGTTGGGAGGACCACCTGGCCCGAGGTGGGGAACACTGCATCAAAATCTCCCCAGTAGTGATTATCTTGACAAGATATTTGAAATTCCATCCATTTTGAAAGAGCTTACTAATAACAATAGCTAACATTTATATAGCACCAGGCACAAGTGCTTCACAATTATTATTTCATTTGATACTCATAACAATCGTAAGAGGCAGGTGCTATTATTATTTTATAGATGAGGAAACTGAGGTTAAATGACTTGCCCAGGCTCATGCAGGTAATAAGTATATGAGGCCAGATTTGAACTCAGGTCTATCCTGACTCCAGGCCCAGTTATCTAAGTTATTCAGTTTAGGTATACCTCACACTTAACTTAGCTTTTGACTCTCCCAAGGCTTAGAGCAGCCAGCTCACCATGTGGTCCCCTAAAGAAAGGTCTAAAGATCACATGTAATGAATGTCTACCTTGTTATCTACAACCCAGAATAACAACTCTCTGAAAGTACACAAGTATAAGCCTGCCCATTGCAGAGTCACACAGTCCAGCCCTCAAGCCCAGTCTTCTTGCGATAGGAGCTTAGAAAGAGGATAGCTGCATGTTGGTCACAATAGTCTTAGAAATCTACCTGGAGGAATGACTTTTGGAAGGCAAGTGGGTTTTGGGAAAATAGAAGGCCTCCATTCTGGGAGAGGGCAGGATGCTTAATTAAAATGAGTTTAGATCAGATGACCTCTAAGGCCTCTTCAAGTGGTACTATAACAATATTCTGGACTCACTCTCCCAGAGTGTCTCCTTGGACATTCCCTTAGGTCCCCCACCTGCCCACCCAGAGTTCTAGGGGGACACCTGAGGGGATGAACTTGTCTTTCTCCAATGCTATCAGGCAAAGCTTCTGTTATAGTGTTCCTTCACTGTTAACTTACAGTGATTGGTACCCTACTTTCATTTTAACCAATTAACATAAATTAGCTTTTACAAAGGGATACTACTAGGTATTGGGGATAGAAAAACACAAAGGAAGCAGTCCTTGCCCTCACAAAGCTTACATTCTACCAAAAGATAAAACATATATACTGAGAAGCAAATACAAGATAATTTGAGGAGGGAAGCGATGCTAAGAACTAGAGAAATCAGGTGAAGTTTCCCTTAGGAGGTGGCATCTGAGATAAATCTGGAAGGAATCTAAGGATTGAACAAAGGACATCTGTCTAGATGATTTTGAAGGTCTCTTGCAGTGCGAGCCTGGCCAGTTCTGGCTGTACGCTCAGGTGGTGAGCTGGAAAGATGGTAGTGGCTACCTTTACTGCCATGGAGTCTACAAGGGTACTTTGGCCCAGGTTGGAATGCTTCTGCCTGGCTGCCTCCTTCTATTTCTCCTGATCACTAAATATTTCCAGGAGGTTATCCTAAGTTCACCTGGGCTTTGAGAGATCATTCTCCTTCTCCAGCAGGAGAGCCATCTAGGTGGTAATGGTAGATAGAGTGCTAGGCCTGGAGTCAGGAAGAACTGAGTCCAACTAGCTATGTGGGCCTAGGCAAGCCATTTAACCTCTGTTTGCCTCAGTCTCCTCAACTACAAAATGGGATTATTATTAGCATCTATCCCAAAGGGTTGTTGTGAGAATCAAATGAGATATTTGTAGATTGTTTAGTACAATGCTTGGCACATAGTAGGTGTTTTATAAATATTTGTTCATGCCTTTCCCTTTTCTGCTATTCATTGTTTCCTAGAAGGGTCCATTTTCCCCCCTGAACTTTTTGTTTTCCTGACCCCTGTTTCCAGGTAGGGTTTGGAGGGTGAGGCTGAAGGAGAGGGGGAAGGTAGGAGTGGGGAATGAAAAGGACCTTGTAGCTTCTTAGGACCCCAAAGGAAGAAGAGAAGAGGATTGGTATTACCCAAGGAGGAAGCCAGTGCTGCTTTGGGGCTAAGGTCACTGAAAACCTCATATAAGCCATCCCTAGGTTGGTGATAGGTCTTTCTCTGGTTCATTTGTAAGAGGTATTGATTAGTCATATATACTGAACAATCAGGCTTGTCTTTCATCCAGCTC